CACCGCCTGGGAACTGCTCACCCCCACCGTCTGGGAAGACCTGCCGCCGTCACCGCGCCGCCCGGAAGACCAACGCTGGAACGCTGCCGGCCCCACGTGGCACCACCTGGCCAGCATGTGCTTGGCGTGCCCTGCTCCACCCCCCTCCTCCAGCACAGGTGAGAGCTGTGCCGCTCAGGGGGAGAGGTGCGGAGGAGGAGCCATGGGCTTTAATCCGCCAGCCACACGGAGAGACGGACTGCTCACCCCCACCGCCTGGGAACTGCTCACCCCCACTGCCCGGGAAGACCTGCCGCCACTGCTGCGCCGCCTGGAAGACCACCGCCGGCACGCTGCCAGCCCCACGTGGCACCACCTGGCCGGCATGTGCTCAACGCGCCCTGCTCTACCCCCCTCCTCCGGCGCAGGTGAGAGCTGTTAATCACAGGTCGGTGTGTGTTTTCAAATGGCAACCCATCTTTTAATGAAGCCCATGGGGAAGTGATGGGGAATGTGCCTGTGATTATCAGGAAGCTTTCCATGGATCAGTTATCTGTTAGTTGATCAGACACATTTTTTTTAGGATCAGTGGATATTTGAACAGCATTACCTTTATGTATGAAGTTTATTCTTCAAAGGCTACTTAGTCCACTGTGTGTTTGATTTACCGTACAATATCTCATTTTTTGTCAGAAGTTTTTTTCTATTATTTACTAGTAGGGCAGCGTGGACATTACTGGCTTCTTTAGATTTGTTATTGAATTGTCTGCAACAGCTCTTGTATAACTGGTGTAGATTGAGGATTCCTTCAATAATTCCACTACTGACTAAGAAAGTGATGTCCGTGATTGTGAGCAACAAAACTTCACAAATTCTGACTCTAGTGATGATGAGTTCTATGGGTTCAACGAAAACTAGAAGAGTACTCAAACTTTAAAGTCTCTCTTTTGTTAATGACAGTGATGATGGTTCTTAATGCCACTGTTGACTGCTGTTCACTTTACAAGGTTGAAATAAGGTATTATTGTATTCTGTTATAGTTCATTAAATAGTTTAGTAAACCATTTGATTCAGGATATTTTTTTTCAGGTTTTCCTCCTCTAAAAACTAGGTGCTTCTTACGGTCAGGTGCATCTTATAGAGCGAAAAATACAGTATATTCCTATTCCAGAGATATGGTTTGGCAGGATTTCCTTCCTCTGCCAAAAAGGAAAAAACTGGAGAAAATTCTCCTGCACCCAACTGTTACGATAATGTTTTCTACACTGCATCATATAAAATAAAACAAAACTGAAACTCAACCCAGACAAGACGGAGGTCCTGTTGGTTGGCGGATCGGGTTTCAGAGAGGGTGGATTTGACCTGGTCCTGAATGGTGCAACACTCCCTCTTAGGGATAAGGTCCGCAGCTTAGGAGTACTCCTCGACCCGGAGCTTTCTTTGGAAGCTCAGGTGACAGCGGTAGCAAGGAACGCCTTCCTTCAGCTTCGGCTGATTAATC